ATACAATATTAATTACATAAGAGTTAACGGTTATATGATGATAACAGAGCTGGACATTTTTTTCTATTGTGCCCGATGTTTCTACAATGCCCACATCATTTTTGTTCTGTTGACTTCTCCCGAATATCCATATCACAATGTATTCTAGTAGATTTTGGACGACCTGAGTCCCTCAATAGCAATGGATCTGGTACAATTGTAAGCCAAGTTTGAATCTCATTTGGGTCTCTTTCGTTTCCTATGGGCGGAAACTCAAATTCATATACCTTGAATACTTGTGAAAGTTGGTATACGGGATCAACATAATTTTTGTAGTCCAAATGCGAATGTGAGCAAGCAACAATGACATGAGAGCATGGATATTTGAGTGCTTGAAATAAACCACAATCGCACCACCTCTCTTGCAGATTAACTCTGAAAGAGTTAGCTTCAATCCCTTGCAGCGGACGTGGCATTTCGGTTACACGAAACAATTCACGGGTGCGAGAAAAATTTGTAACTAACATCCCATTTGATGCAGCCACTTTTTTCTGTAAATCAACTACTAGTCTTGGGTGGTAAATATGTCCGTTTTGCATCCAAGTAAGAGCTTGTCCACCGAGCTTTGCAAAGAGTTGACCCAAACGAAAATAAGTCGTTTTAACCAACGCCGTGATTGGTAAATGACGCGCCCCCTTTAAGGTTGAATTTATTGCTTCAGCCAAGTTTGTTGTTATATGACCATAGCGATACCCCCCGTCATATGCATTTGTCCACATTTCTTTGCTGATGTCCATAATGTACTCGCACCCCTTCTTATTTTTGCCAAACAACTCTTGTAGCATCGACTCAAACCTTTGAGGTAAGAGTTCGTAACCTAAGCCATTAGGAATATGTAATAGTTAATATGAAGTATAAATAAGTAATAAGAAATTGATAGAAAAATTGGGAAAAAGTAACATACCCATCCGTACGACTAACTGACGTTCATCGTTCTTCTTGTATTTTCCGTAATAGTTTGCAGCAATATGACGGACACAATAACGATGTTGAACATGTGGAGGTTTATACATTGTACCCAAAGAGTCCATTGCTGCTTTTATCCCGGCTCCTCGGTCTGAAATAATGCATAGTCGTTCCCTGGTGACAACATGTAAACGTAAATTTTTAAGGAAAAAAGCCCAAGACTCAGTGTCTTCTCCTTGAACGAGGGCAAACGCAACAGGAAGAATATTGCGGTTTCCATCTTGGACCACAGCCAATAATAAAACTTGCTTGTATTTCCCATACAAGAAAGTACCATCAATTTGGACAATTGGTTTACAGTACTTGACTGCATTAATACACTAAGGGTAAGTCCAAAAGACTCGGTAAAATTGGCAGCGATCGCGAACCATTCGATCATTCACGTAATGATGTTGAGTTTCGAACTCAACAATTATCCCGGGATTAAGTCTTTGCACAACATGAAACCAACTGGGCAGCTCGTTGTAAGAGGAATCCCATTCGCCATGAAGTTTGCAAATGGCATTCTGTTTTGCCAACCACGCTTTTTTATATGAGACAGTGTACCCATATTGTGACTGTATAGCAGAAATCAACACTGCAACAGCTATATGAGAGCTTTGCTTCACAATGGGCATGATTGCTTGACAAATAATGTTGGAGTCCAAGTTGGGATGATCCTGGTTTATACCTGTTGCACAACATGTATGAGGACCGTTGTATCTGGTTAGTTCCCATAAGTTGTTCTTCCTCTTTGATACACGGACCATCCATTGACATCCGTTGTGACGTTGGACGCAGTAGCAGACATATTTCTCTGTGTTAGATCGATCAACTCGGGACTGAACTGTATAAAATAACGACCCTGGAGGAGTGCTAGTAACAATCCCACCGCTCCCCGGGAACTGTGGAAACTGTGGAAACATTGGCATCGATGTATGTGATCCAGATGGAGATTGAGGTGTCTGTGGAGAAGCACCACCAGCCAAATAAGATGCATATGAACCATATGCTGGATCATTAAACATAGTCGTATATGCACCTCCATATGGTATAAAACCCTGCGGGCTAGGCATGTAACCTGGCAGGCTAGGCATGTAACCTGGCGGGCTAGGAATGTAACCCTGCGGGCTCGGAATGTAACCCTGCGGGCTCGGAATGTAACCCTGCGGAGATGGCATATAAACTGGTGGGCTTGGCATATGAAGTGGAGGGCTGGGCATGTACCCCTGCGGCATCGACGAATAAGGATGTTGTGGTGGGACTGATGCAGAACCGGTAGCGCCTTCTCTCCGTCCACGCGTCGGGGGACGATGATATTGAGACGGTTGACGTCTTTCTCGGCGCCTAGGAATGTTAACCCCTCGTGCTTCCGTCGAAAGTAGAAACGGTTTCCAATTTTCATTAAACCAGTCCATATAATTATCCGTAACCATATGACCAGTTTCAGCGTAATATTGTCGAGGGGCCAACAGTGTATATCAGTTCTCCCAAAGCGCAATCCAATCTCTGTGTCTCACCACCCAGTTAACATCTTTCTTTCCCCGTCTATCTATGTTATGCACGTCGTCTAAATTCCTAGGAGCTCCAGGAATATATTGCGTACAACCATACTGACGGAGCACGCGATCAACTGGATGCCACTAAATAATAGCATAACATATAAGAGGTATAACCGATATCCATACCTCTAATGACCCACTAAGGTGGGGTGGGATGCAAGCTTTCACTTCATCGCTCGCATAAGGTATCCACTGAAACTGAAATATAAATATACAATTCAAATAAATAAAATATTCTAATTATATCTAACATTTTAAATTAAAATATTAATAATTAAACAAATTTAAAAACATACCTCAGACCCAGCTTTCGTATCAATAAGTAAACGAATTTCCTCTAACCCAGTAGGTATACTTTTATGGTCATTTCTTTTCATCGACCACCTATGAAATATAATATAAACTAAATATCACCCTATTTAATTGAAAATATTTAAATCAAAATTTAGTTCGAAAATTACCTCAACAATAAGGGGAATACGTATGGTTCATTCACGATCGGGCATAAGAAAGGCATGCGGAACCACGCCCATGATTGTAGAAGCAGAAGACATCCACCGATAGCAGTTTTCTTATAATTCGTCGCCCGACACATTTCTCTAAAGAGAAATGCCAAAACTGCAGCACCCCAACTATATCTTCCAGCTTCATCAAAATCGATCAGATGCCGCAACCACATACAATGCACCTGGTTGCGAGATTTGTCGGGCATCAATATTCCTCCAATTATTCGTAGAATATATGCCCGAGCACATGCCTTTGCTTGATCCTCTGAAGCATTTTCATTTAAAACCTCAAAATTAGCTTTCAACCAAGATAAAGCTATTCTACCTCCATTAAACTCTGGCGGAGCAGCTCCAAGATAATCAATGCACATTGATTGCCAATCACCATCCGCCATACCACACATCGTATTTCCGTCGACGGGAAGCCCCAGATGCATAGAGACATCCTCCAATGTAATTGTTGCCTCTCCACATGGAAGGTGAAAAGTGTGTGTCTCGGGCCTCCACCTCTCAATCAGTGCAGAAATTAGGACAGGTTCGAGTTTGCAACCGCCTATAATTGTTGCAATATACCCGAACCCAGCAGAAGCCAAATATGGCAAAATATGTTCCGGTGTCGGTATACGTGGATTTTTAATAAAAGTTTCTAAAATACGATCAGCATCCTAAATAATATATATAAAAAATAAAAATTAATATAAATTCATAATAACTTTAAAATAAAATAAATTTAAATATTAACATTAATTATAAAAAATATTACCATATCGCTAAAATGTCTGGAGATATGATCAATATCCAATCGCAACAGCATTTCGTTTTCCATTATAACTGTAGACAAAACAATATAATTAGCAAAAAAAAATTAATAATTCTAAATAAATAATAATTATAAATATTATTTTAATAAAAAAAATATTTACATAAATATATTAATATAAAAAATAATAACTATTTAAAAAAATACTAACATAAAAATAAATTTCTTACCACTAATAACAAATTTAAAACTCAAATAGTTGGAGAATTTGAGTTATATAAGAGAGGAGAAGATTATTTTGGTGTGAAGAATGAGGGAGGGTTGAGGGGGTTTATATAGGGGAGGAGGAGGGGTAGTTAGGAAAAACGGATGGGGGCATTTATGACATTTAATGGAAGGCGCGTCCCCGGGGATGCGCTTTCCACACGTGTCTGCTGATATGGCAAAGGCGCGTCCCCGGGGACGCGCCTTTCACACGTGGCATCCAACTCAGCGAAAACACGAGTAAAGCGCGTCCCCGGGGACGCGCCTTTGCCAACTCAGCAGAAAGGGTGCTACTTTTGGAAATATTGGTCAAACGGTGTCAGAAAGGTAAAATTAAAAGCAAACGGTGTCAGTTATGTAATTTAGCCGCGATTATACATATATATTAATAATATAAAATTTTAAAAATAAAATATATAAAAATAAAATTTTAGATTAAGTATCATTAGTAAAATAAATAATTAATTAAAAAATTATATTTTAATATAAATACAAAAAATTTAATATAAATACTATTAATAAAATAAATAATTAACTGAAAAAATCAAATTTTAGGTGACGTCACCGAATGTGTATGATTTATGATATTTTGTTGGCACATTAGCAAATAGATGGAATAGTCAATCGCTCGCAACGAGTGACGTATCAAAAGCGTGTGAAGAAACTCATTGTTCCACCAATGTCTCTGGGCCAGTGGGCTGGAGTTCGTAATGTATTAACGTCACGACGAATATGTTCATGCTAAGGAACCGTAAAGCATACCATCGCCAGTCGAGGAAGAACAAAGAACTGCAGTCTTTAAAATTTGAGATTTAAAACTTAAAATTTGTTTAATTTATTAACCACTTCACTTTATTCCTAGCTTGCTTTATAAAAGTTTATATTTTTGAAGTGCGATCAATTTTTAAAGGAGAAAGGAATAAACCAAACCCCTCCTTCCTTTCTTCTCATCCATGGCGTGCACCGCTAACGCCTTCTCTCTTTCTATCTCCTCCAACCCCAACACCAATTTCTCATCCGACTCCAATCCCAAGCTTAATAAACCCCTCAACCTTACCCTCCGCGGTTCCGGTTCCGGTTCCGGTGAGTCGAATCTGGGAATATACCTTGTGTTATCCATTAAAGTGGTCAAACTTTCTTCCTGGTGTGCTTTGTGAATGTGTATAACTGTCCTTGTCTACTTGAAGCAACGATATTATACGCCGGTGATTTTGTCATCTTTGCGATCTATATTTCTTCAAGCATTAAGTGATCCGCTGTTGATCATTACAGGGATCCTGATGCGCTGGCTTATGCTATAAAGCGATCGTGTGAAAACAAGGCTGAGGTTGTCTCATTAGATGAGAAAGAAAGTGGTTGAGGGCTACACTGAACTTGGGGCGTACATTTGGTCATGTAAGTTTTATAAGTGAGCTACCGGATATATTACATTTTAGCTTGCGAAGAGAATGGGTTATATTCATGCTTGGTGCATATGCATACTCTGTTTTTTGCTTCTTAGTGTAACTTGCTGAATTTATGAAGTATCCTCGTCCTTTTTGGGATTTTTGTTTCGTGACTGCGTGGTTTGAAATCCCAAGAAGGAAATTGTGAAATGGTTTTAAAATTTAATACATTTCAAGTTACTCAAAACTTGAGATTTCGTGTTTTAGCAATGTTCAGCAATATTTTTTTTTTGGTTTTGCTTGGCGCTGAAGTTATTTTGAATTCCCTTGTGTTAGAATTTGTGCTTTTTTGTGCTTTAACTTATTCTGGTACCTTCAGATTGTATTCGTTTGGCTGATGTCTTCATGTTTCTTTCCAGGCAATAGAAACTGGGTTTGGATATGGAGAGGGCTTCATGGAGAAGCTGTTGCAGCTGGCACGGTATTGTGGTTGTTGTTGCATTTCGTTTTGATCTTCTTCCGCATATCTGCTAAACTCAAATCTGTGCTTAACCCAGGTTATGGCTGTTGACATGTCACACTGCCTCGGTTGGATCGACAGGTCAATTTTCAAATGGGTTAATGACATTTACTGCGGACTAAGTTACCCACTGCTGCTCCTGAAACCATGAATGTGGAAATGTTCAAGTCTGTCATGGCGGCAAGTGAACCAAGTCTTACTTGTTCCGTATATCTCAAGTTGATCGTAAATTGTGTTTTCACCGGCGAGTATGATAGGAAGGCCCTTGATGATACTCTCGCTGCATTTTGCAAGTCATAGGTCTGGATATTGTGTTTGTTCTTTAATGGCCATATGTATACACTCATTTTCTTTTATATTTATTTTATCTTATTTTATTTTATATATATATATATATATTATAGTTCGCAAAATAGTTTTTGAAAAATATTTATATAATATATGATTTTGTTTAAAAAAATATTTTGAAAATGTATATAATATTTAGTTTTTTAAAAAATACCTTTGAAAACTATATAATATATAATTTTTAAAACAATTTTAGAAAACATATATAATATATAGTTTTTAAAATCATTTTGAAAACTTATATAATATATAGTTTTAAAATCATTTTGAAATTTATATAATATATAGTTTTAAAAAATATTTTTGAAAACATATAATATAGGTTTCAAACGTTTTTTAAAACTATAACATATAGTTTGAAAACATTTTTAAAATTATATAATATATGGTTTTGAAATATATATTATATATAGTTTTAAAACAATTTTTTATATATATTATATAGTATATTATTTTATTTTATTCTTTATTCTTTATTCTTTATTCTTTATTCTTTTTTATTTATTATTTTTTTTGTTTTTTGTTTTTATTATTTATTTAATCATTTTTTGGTTAATTTCAGGTCCAATGGGTCCAGTTAAGCAGGTCTGAACCAGCCCAGTAGTAGTTAGGGTTTCAGTATGTCACAGCGTTGCATAATCAGAGTCAAACGGCACACCGGCCGACTGGGAAAACCGGGACTGCATCATCCCGAGATTCCTGGCTATGTGAACAACGATTAATGCGAAGTACATGAGAACAACCCCGTTATCGTCGGAGTAGGCCACCGGTGGGGTGGGTATAAATACCCCACCACGGTGAAACCAAGGGTTATAGAGTACACACAAGAACATCAACAGAGAGAGAAACCATGAGAGCCAAACCATCAGTAGTAAACCAAGATCAACAAAGGGAGCAACGATAAATCCACAGTAAACAACATCATCACAACACACAGAAGCCACGACCAACAAGTCAAACACAACGACTCAACGAGAAATCGAAACCCGAGAGTCACAGCCAACAGTGGATAGCCACACAAAAAAACACACACCGAGAACACAAATACAATCGAGAACAGAAACGCAAGCAATATCAAACATATAAACCCAAAGGCCGAAGCCCCAGCAGAAAATCCAAGCAAAAACAAAAATCAAAGCAAAGCAGATCGAAGAGCCACCGGGAGGGCGAAGAGTTTTCGACTAAAAGGGTAAAAATCAAGACTTTCTAGGCTAGATCTACGCCGATTTATAGGGTATTTTGTTGTGTTGGGACCGAATCTGGTATCGGGGTGTTAAGGGCTTTCGAAGGGTATGATTGGTTGGTATTCGCCCACCGTGGGCAATGGTCGGATGGTTTTCTAGGTGGTGGCTGACGGTGGGTCTCTATCGGAGAGGATGGTCGGAGGGAGGAGCTTTGAGAGAGTTTTGAGAATTGAGAGAGAGTTATCAGTTTTGAGAAGTGGTGAGAATGAAGGAAAAAGAAGGGTTTTTAGGTATTTATATACCGAGGACTAATGTGCAATTAAAGGAGTTTTAAATCCTTTCCGCCATCCCTGAATGTTTGAGTCATAGTTCAATATGGTCACCATCTGTTAATTTGCCTCCATATTTTCAATTTAATAAATTTAGTCCATGTTTATATTTTGTGAATTAGCACCTAACTTTTTTTTTTCTTTTGCAGTTTTTTAATTCTGATTTAAGCCATTAATTTCAATTGGTCTCAATTTGATCCTCTAATTTGTTACTCTTTTTATATTATTTAATTATTTTTTGTTTTCTTTGATATATATATATATATATATATATATATATATTATTCTATTTTTATTTTATTTTACTCTTTTTCTTTGGCTCTTTCATTCATTCATTTTTCTTATTTTATTTTTTATTTATTTAATTATATATATATATATTCCCTTAATTTATCGTTATTTATTTTATTCCTTATTTATTTACTTTTTACTAACATTTTTTTACTTTTTTTATAGAAGAGTTCCAATCGATCAAAGGTAATTAATTAGAATCGAATATGTTAAGTTTTAATTTAAATTCTTGATTTTCTCAATTAAAAGACAACCGACGAATTAATTGGTACCGAAAGGGCGGTTCAAGGGTGTTAATCCTTCATTTACCGTAACCGACTCCTGACCCAACACTTTTTTGGTAAAATGCATATCAGGTAAGATGATGTTCGATCTACCTAAATATCGTTTTAAAATGATCGATGGTGATTCTAACCCAATCAATTCAAGTCGAAGCCCAATTCCGGACCCAATCGAAAGGCGGTTTCGACAGCTTGGCGACTCTGCTGGGGACATGTAAGTGAGTCAGGCTGAAATTAATTTCCGGTTGTCTTTTTTAGCAAAAATTACAAGTTTAAATTTTAATTTATTTATTCGATTCTTACTATTTATCTTTGATTATTTTTTCAAATAAATAGTTATACTAACGTTTTTTAATGATTTCAGATTTTTCAAAATTGTGATCTCTAGCTCTATACCTGAGTTTCGAACCCTTTTAAGTGGGGACGAAAGCGACGCCTTCGTGGGAATTTATTCTCCGTATGGGCCTAGCAAGTAACCTTCGGGATTCATATTACCTTATGTCTTCGTGTGAATTTATTCTTCGTATGGGCATAAGGGAATGAATACTCTCGAGTTTAACTTAGTCCACATAAGTTTGTGATGGGCTTAGGACTAAGGGTCTGGCAAGCCCAAGGGGGCACCAACAAGGAGAACTCGAGTACCTTTTTAGAACCTAAATCGGGAGAGTATAGGGAATTAGAGCCCACCCCAAAACCTCATTGCAAACCCTACGCTGCTTTGATTTTATTTCCTGCTTTACTTTCTATTCAAAGCATGCGAACTAGACAAATATACGGTTTAGGATTTGTTTGAAATTAGCATGCGGGATAGAGATCATGCTCGGGTAGGAACAATAAGCATGTGGGATATGATTTTTTATTTTTATTATTGTTTTGATTTACCTCACTAACTATTTTTATATTTGTTCTATTTTATTTTGTTTTCATCATTTGCATCATTTAAAACGAGGTGTTGATATACTAAAAACGTGTTTGTTAAACATGAATAATCTACATTAATGGACAAAGAGGTTATAATACAAAAAGATAAAAAGCTCAGAAGCCCAGCCGTGGTCAAAGAATACTTAGAGGCAAAGGTTGTAGGGGCAAGACAAGGAAAATGTTACTGATCCGGAGAGTCCTTTCAAAAACTATGAGAATAAGATGGTGAAACCTTAGCTAAGTTGGAGACCATTATTGACGAATTCCAGAAACAAGTCAATAAACTTCGGATGGAGGGCTCCAATAGTATTTTCGTTTAGAACAAGCTCAGCATAGAGTGAAAGCCGGAGATGCAGTCCTTCGATACCTTTTTGGGGTAAGCAGCTCGTCACATGCACAAGTTTAGCCAAAGGAACAAGATTGGATCGACATGATATTCATCCGGTGAAAAAATACAGAAGACGAATCAACTTGTCAGAAGCTGTGGGGATCTATACCATCGAAAAGTTTTTGTCTCTTCAGATGTAACACTTTTGTCCCAATAAGGACTATTCAAAATAACATGCACATTTTTTGGATCAATGCCTCAAACATTTCATGCATCATGCATTCTTGCATATTTCGCATTATTTTCTTTTTTTCATTGAATTCACATGATCTAACAAGAGATTTTCATAACGGAAGGGTACAAACACTGGACATACCTCCACAAGCTTCAGACACGTGTCATCCTCATTCAAACCAAAAAGAAGATGGAAGCCAGAATTACTCAGATCAAAGAGAACATGTTGAAGCTCCAGAGAGAGTTAGAAGAAAAGATATATCAGAATAGCCAGAGTACTTTAGATGCAATCACGAAAGGCCAAAAGTCCTTGGTCGATCAGGTCGTTGCCAAGTTAGCTGGCCTATATCAGACAAGTGCTCCTGGGTAGGCTCATCAGAAGGGGTAACCATGCCACCTACCCCGCAAGTGGTTGTCTTATCCAAAATCTTACCAGGACTTCAAGATAATTCGGATAATTATCGCATTCCGAAATTTGATGAAGAGGTCAAAACAACGAGGGTAGAAATTACAATTAAACCAGGAGTAGGACGAGTGGAAAGCCTCCTCTGTAGAAGAATGAAAGAGAAATCATCAATATTTCAAAATCGTCTACAATTGTACCCTCTTCTAGGTAAAAACCAATGAGATAAAAGGAGCATTTCGATCTCATTCCCATGACATACAAGGAGCTCTACCAAAAACTGTTTGACGCACATGTGGTGTCACCCTATCCCAAGATACCTCTAAAGCCCCCATACCCCAGGTGGTATGACAAAAATGCGCACTGTGAATATCATGGTGGTGTTACGGGGCATGTTATTGAAAAATGCCTCCCCTTTAAGAGGGTTATCTAAAGGATGTGCAATAGGGGTTGGATTCATTTTAACAATTCAGAATCTCCCCACGTTGCCTAGAACCCTATACCTAATCATCAAGAGAATAAAGAAAGTGCAATCACTGAAGAAAAGGGTAAAAAGGCCAAAACCAGAGTTTCCGAAGTGAAGACAATTCTTGTTTGGGTATAGAGGCAAATGATAAATGCGGGGTTTCTTGCACCACATCCTAGCACATCAGATTCCAAAGGTGGCAATTATTGTTGTTACCACAATGAAGATGGACATGATGTACAAGAATGTGCCGAATTTAGAGCCTTGATCTAGCTATTGATGGACAGAAAAGAGCTAGAATTTCATG